TAGAAAGAATCATGGAAAAAGCAAAAAAGTTATATATAGCAAATGATTTCCAGATTAATGTAGAAAAGTTAATTCTTCTTACTATTAATCAGAATCCACAAGTTCTTAAAACCATTCAAGCTGGAACAAAGAATACTATAATCCATAAAATTAATAAGGAGAATCAGATCAAATTTCTTGATATTTGACTAGAATTAAGACAAAAGAATTAGGATATTATAAACTTGATAAAATAAAAATCAGGATAGTAATTCAGGCAATAACTAAGAAAAAGTTAATAAAAAAACATATCCGATATATTATCAACAAGTTCTTGATTACAAGAATAGAATATAAAATGCAACATGCATATTTATATAAGAAAACATATAATAATCTTATGGCCATATTTATAAAAGTATTCAATAACAAGGTCTTAGTTTGTAGAACAATCTCAAATAATTGTATTTATAACAAAGAAATATATAGTCTTAAGATTATCTAAGAAATATAACTAAAATGCTATATGCCAGAATTTTTCTATCAATTTAATAATAATAAGATTTCTGGTATTGTCATCATAATTAGATCAAAATAGAGTCAAATTAAATGTTGGAAGTCTGATAATATTTTAAAAAGTCCTATTGACTCTCAAAAGTTTATTAAAGAAAATTTGGCAGTTAAAACACTGGCCCTAATAAAAGTATACAAATTATCTTTCAAAGTTGGAGATAAAAGAAAACTTTTAATTATTAGGGAGATATCCTATTCATTAAATCAATATTACAAGATAATAGAGAATATAAAAAGATCATTATATTGCTATTCAAGCATAAGATTATATTTTTAGATCAGCTCATTAATACTACTATAATAATACTTAAAAAATAAAGAGCAATTCAATTCTCTTTAGCAGATGCAAGTGACCAGTCTTCTCCTAGTACAAAAAAGTTCATTAAAAGATAACAATAAATCAAGATCTTTTATGAAACTTTCTATATAGACTTGAATAGACAGTTTACAATATGCAGACTAATATATTTCCAATCTATACTAATACTTTGACAGATATATTAGAAAAGACAATATTCATAAACAACAAACTTATCATATCATATTAGCTAGTATATGACTTTGCTAATAATTATATCCATAACCAAGTAGATAGAACAGTACAGTCAATAGAAGTAATTCCATTACAAGTTCACCTTCTTTCATAACTAAATAGATATAATAATCTGAGAAAAAAAAAACAAATTCTTCTGTCAAAAAATTCTACAGACTGACAGATATCAAATAGTAACTCTACCAACCATCAGACCTATAGAAGTAGAGATTCAAGTAGAAGGCTGTAACATTATACTAATAGAACAAGCTATATAAATAGAAGAACATAAAAATGAACCTATAGGTATTCTGCGATATAATAGAAGAAATATAATTAATTAGCTTATTTTTTATACTAATGGCTCCTATAAAAAAGGGATAATAGATTGTGAACTTGAGATAGGTTTAGCTTGAATCTTAATAGAGAATAACAAAGTGATTAAACAGTTCTTGCAGGAGATTTCACTTGGCTATCTATAATCAGAGCTAAAATATTAGCTATTTTTACTGCACTGTATACTACCCTCAAAACACGAACATCAGAATTTACACTAATTGCAATACAACAGTCAAAGTATAAAAATCCATCTGCTCACAAACTGAGACATCAATGAAAAGATGAACAAAGACTATCAACTAGTTACTGTGAAATAAAATTAAAGACTTGATGAAGAAGAAAGATTTAAATTTGAAAATTTTGAAGATCAAAGATCATAAAATCAACAAATTTAACAATTAAGTAGACTTGCTTGCTAAATAGGCTAGATAAAAGAATCCAATAATTTGGTATCAGCTATCAGAACTAAAAAGAGTTCTTATAATAACCACATAAAAAGAATATATAATAAGAATTAATATTAGAAATTTCATCAAAATATTCAATAAAAAAAAGAATTAGACTAGACTAAATAACATAGAAAAGGATTTAGAATTTTTGAATTCAAAATTATAAAGTTATAGATTGGCTAACCTTTTAGAATCAGTTCAATCTAATTAATACTTTCAATACCTTTTTTAAGGCCAACAAAGATAAAAACTTCCTAACTAACCTAACCCATAATAAGCTTATAGTCCTATAGATACTTAAAAAAAGGAAACTAGATATGTATACAATAACTACTTGTCCAGTATGTAAACTTCAAGAAAAAATATTAGAATATTTCTTTGAATGCCCAGTTACTAGAGAAACTAGAAAATATATATAGTGAAAAGCAAACAAAAAGATTCACAAATATATTAGTAAAGAAGTTAAAAATAAAAAAGAAATCTGACCTGTAATGAATGACTGGATAAACAAATAGTTGAAAGAGATTCAGAAATCTGATAGGGGTCTTTTTAATATAATAAGACCTTCTTCTTGAAGAAATATCCCAAAGAACAACTTAAGATCCCACCTGTAACTATATGGAGTATAATCAGAAAGCTCTGTCAAAAAATATAAGAAAACTTCAAAAAGAAAATCTGGAATAATCATTATGTCAAAGTTATTAAATAGAAAAAAAAGTTGAAGATTATTTAAAAAGATAAAAGAAATAAAAGATACAAGTACAGATTTAATATACAAACTGAACAAAACCAAGAAGAAGCATCACTATCTTTGGAGGATCTAAACCTGAAAGGCATTAACGAAAAAGATGGAAAGAAGTACATAGCAATTATTAAGAATTGATTTTGTTATAAAATCAAATGATTTGATTTTTAACTGCAAATAGAACTTAAAATAATCTATATAAATAATCTGTAGGCAATTATTTTATTAATTAGAAGAGTTATTCAAATTAGTAAAGAAATAAAATATCATTTATTAGTATAAAAGACTTTATTTTCAAAAAGTCAATAAACAATTATTATTTGGCCAACAAAACAACAAAGTTGTTTTATTTCAGGAAAGACTTTTCTTCTCTATATAAGAATCTGACCTAAAGTATCTTTTAATTGAAATTATATAAATAAATTTATAAATACACTAATTAAAGATATATAAATCTTGACATAATGGATATTTAGACTTATGGAACTATAATATACCTTAAAGAAGAATACAAAAAGAATAATAATAAAAACAAAAGTAATCTATTGATTCACACTACTCTTGTTTATGGGGCTAATTTTTATTCTGGAGAAACAAGATAAATTGATTATAATAATGGGTACTCAGTTCAAGATTACTAAAGATAATCTTAGAAAATGTTACATAGAAAGTCCAAAAATAGTAGATAGGGTGGACTTAGGTCTATAGTCACATAGAGTTATGTATACTTATACAGAGTTGATAGGGACAGGTGTGAATTCACTATACCTAGGTTGTATTTAAAGAAATAGTTTCTTAGTGATAAGTGAGTTAGTATATGAAAGTCACAACAATTTGTAAATATTTAGCATATATACAATAAAAATATATCATACTAACCTGACTGTGTGTTAAAAAAAAACTATTAATAACAAATATATATATATTAAAAGCAATACTATAAATAATATAGAAAAAAATATATATTTTAGATACATTAATAAATTTATTAAAAAATAAAATAAAAAATATAAATTATAAACAATATAATAAATATTAAGTAAAAAAAGATTTTAATGTTTTAATATTATATTTTTATATAAAATATATATAGTTATAAATAGTACTATATTTTAATAAAAATATTAAAATAAACATATTAAAAAGTAAAATAAAAAATATAAATTATAAACAATATAATAAATATTTAATAAAAAAAGATTTTAATATTTTACTATTATATTTTTATATAAAATATATATAGTTATAAATAGTATTATATTTTAATAAAAATATTAAAATAAACAAATGTAATATCTCTTTTCTATTTATATGTAACCCAGTATAGAACTGGAAACTAAAATACTGTTGAACTATAAAATTTAATCATATGATCTTCTTAATATTCAGGATAATCCAGTAATTCAAATCAATATGTTTAATCCTTCTGATTATCTAAAAATAAAGATTTTCCAGAATATTTCTAGAATATTGAAAGTCAATTTTGCTATTAGCAAACTTAATATGAAGTACTCTAAAATATTCTATAGTTCTATTTTATCACATATAACTATTATTTTTGAAGGATACTTGAGTTTTGTTTAAAATAATATAGTTTAATAGTCTAGTGAAACTAAGAGTATAATTATTATTATTATTTATTTTAGTTTATATTTTCAAATATAATATAACTTAATTATGTATTTAAAGAGGAAAATTCTTTCTCTGGAGACTTCTTAAGATTTATTCAACAATAAAATTACCTTTATCAAAATTATAGTTCTATTTCTTTTACCTAAATTATCAATAATAAATCTTTTTATTTATTATTGTTCAAACTAGAAACTTTTATATATTACTATATGTTAAAAGTTTAACTCAATATTTTCCTACACTAGTTCTCTATTTCTATTTGATTTCTAAGAGGTTAATTGAATAGATTGATAATATTATGAATAGAACAACCAGAAGTGTAAGTTTCAACTCAAGATTTAGCTATAATAAAAATAGTATATCTAAAAATAAGTTGATCTTATCAAAACAGAAATCAAACTAATCTAGACAAAAAAAAACCAGTTTCAATACAATAGCAATAATATATATTATAAATATAATAGTCAGATTATCAATAAATAACAAAACCAAAAGTCCTCACTCTTTCTTGTTTTCCTGTGGTACAGTAGCATAAATCACAGAAATGAAAGTAAAAGTTGAAATGGAGAGACCAAAAAGAACGCAATACATGTACACCAGGCCTAACTACAACATCAACAAGCTCACCAAGGGCAAGGCCAGCCCTATCAGCAAAGAAATACAATGACAAACCAACAAGAAACCCAGCACTGAACAAGCTACCGCACACAAGTTTACAACCCCCTCCACCTCAAGCAACCTTCAAACAATTATGCAAGACACTAATACACCTTTGGAAGTGACAAACACCACTAACAATGCAAACTCACAATATACATAAAGTGAACAAGTTTAAGAGAAACAAAACTCCCAATCAAAGACACAACAAGAACTGAAAGAAATCTCAACTCCCAAGGGCAAGGAAGTAACAACCGACAAGAGAAAACCCAATAGAATCAACAATTCCAATACAGAGATAGATCTCAACGTCAGTACTTCTCTCCAGGAAGAACAAAGCTGGCAGACATATGGTAAACATAGGAACGACACAATAAGATAAGGCATTCATCCAAAACTCTGTTCTCCTTTTGATAGAGATACAAGATATAGAAGAGAGCAAATCAAGCTTGATATTAAAGCTGACCTCCTTCCAAGAGACTCTATAGGGAAAAAAATCACCTTTCTCACCAAGGCACTCAAATCACCTAAAGGACTACTTACAATTTAAAATGAATGCATAGATGAAATCAATCACATAATTACCATTTTTAGTGATAGACAATCAGCAGAAGAGGCCAGCCACATCACCCTCACCAAATCAGGCAATATCACACTATTAACACTCCCCAAATCAATCAGTAGACTCGATAAGGAAAAGAGTATTAGAGTGTGGACATCTCCCAGAGTACAAAATTTATAGATGTCCAACAAACATTCGCCAAGTTCAGACAGATCACCAATATCAAGATGACAATACAACCAGTGTGCCAGTTTGCTACTATCACATTCACAGATCTGGAAGACAAACGTAAAACTTTAGAACTCTGGAGCACATTAATCAAAGCTGACTCAGTAAGGATCTTTGATGCAACCTAGGGCCTAACACAAATGAAAAATAGAGGCAATCTCTTTCTGAAATTAATCAATCTCCCATCTAGAACCCATGTTTTTAATCTCAAAAATGTATACCATACTCTTCAAGCTAAAACCTGTTATATACCTCACCTTATATCATACAGATCCAGGAAATGTGCAGTTCTCAGTTTCAATAATGAACAATATCTCCAACAAGCACTAAACTCAACCTTCAATCTCAGCGAAACTATCCTAACCTGCAAACTAATTGACACAAAGTTATACACTATCTGTGACAACTCAGAGCACCTTGTAGCAAACTGTACCATCAAAAAACGAAGAGAACAATGGAACGAATACAACCAAGAACAAGCTGACAAATTTGAGAAACTATACAACTGCTATAAACCCATCAGATTAATACACATCCACAAATTAACACATATATCCACTACAAACAAAACCATTAGGTCAGGCTCATACATCTCAGCTGCAAAAAATGCAAATAAAATTTATCAAGAAGAATACTATAACCCAGACTTAACAGACAATATCC